GAGATGGTGAGCAGCCCTCAGTGGTGAAAGAACAGGTTAAGAACAATTTAGAAAAGCTGGACATGCACAAGTCCATGGGTCCAGATCTAATGCATCCAAGGGTGCTGAGGTAGTTGGCTGATCTGATTGCAAAGCCATTGGCCATTATCTTTGAAAATTTGTGGCAATTGGGGGAGGTCCCGGACGATTGGAAAAAGGCAAATACAGTGCCCATATTTTAAAAAGGGAAGAAAGAGAACCCAGGGAACTACAGACCAGTCAGCCTCACTTCAGTCCCCAGCAAAATCATGGAGCAGGTCCTCAAGGAATCCATTTTAAAGCACTTGAAGGAGAGGAAGGTGATCAGGAACAGTCAACATGGATTCACCAAGGGCAAGTCATGCCTGACCAATGTGATTGCCTTCTATGATGAGATAACTGGCTCTGTGGATATGGGGAAAGTGGTGGATGTGATATATCTTGACTTTAGCAAAGCTTTTGATATGGTATTCTTGCCAGCAAGTTAAAGAAGTATGGATTGGATGGATGGATTATAAGGTGGACAGAAAGATGGCTAGATTGTCGGGCTCAACGGGTAGTGATCAATGGCTCAATGTCTAGTTGGCAGCTGGTATTAAGTGGAGTGCCCCAGGGGTCGGTCCTGGGGCCAGTTTTGTTCAACATCTTTATTAATGATCTGGATGATGGGATGAACTGCACTCTCAGCAAGTTCGCGGATGACACTAAACTTGGGGGAGAGGTAGATAAGCTGGAGGGTAGGGATAGGGTCCAGAGTGACCTAGACAAATTGGAGGATTGGGCCAAAAGAAATCTGATGATGTTCAACAAGGACAAGTGCAGACTCCTGCACTTAGGAAGGAAGAATCCCATGCACCACTACAGGTTGGGGATCAACTGGCTAAGCAGCTGTTCTGCAGAAAAGGACTTGGGGATTACAGTGGACGAGAAGCTGGATATGAGTCAGCAGTGTGCCTTTGTTGCCAAGAAGGCTAATGGCATATTGGGCTGCATTAGTAGGAGCATTGCCAGCAGATCAAGGGAAGTGATTATTCCCCTCTATTTGGCATTTGGAATATAGCATCTAGTTTTGGTCCCCCCACTACAGAAGGGATGTGGACAAATTGGAGAGAGTCCAGCGGAGGGCAACGAAAATTATTAGGGGGCTGGGGCACATGACTTATGAGGAGAGGCTGAGGGAACTGGGATTGTTTAGTCTGCAGAAGTGAAGAGTGAGGGGAGATTTGATAGCAGCCTTCAACTACCTGAAGGGGGTTTCGAAAGAGGATGGAGCTAGGCTGTTCTCAGTGGTGGCAGATGACAGAACAAGAAGCAATGGTTTCAAGTTGCAGTGGGGGTGGTCTAGGTTGGATATTAGGAAACACTATTTCACTAGGAGGGTGGTGAAGCACTAGAATGGGTTATCTGGGGAGGTGGTGGAATCTCCATCCTTCGATGTTTTTAAGGCTCGGCTTGACAAAGCCCTGGCTGTGATGATTTAGTTGGTGTTGGTCCTGCTTTGAGCAGGAAATTAGACTAGATGACCTCCTGAGGTCTCTTCCAACCCTAATATTCTATGATTCTATGATTTACCTTTTGGGTGGCCCAGCTATTAGCTGGGACATGACACACATTTAGCAGCGGGTCATACAACTATTTGTTAAACAGCTGCAGGATGCTGGGATCAGGAATCTTGAGGATTTTGCCAGGCTCTGGGAGAAGTGCGCTACATGAGGTGAGAGCTGGGGTTACTGACTGGATAGGGTGCACACAGAGTTAGCCTTGTAACAGGTTACTGGTCTTGTTGGTTGGCTGGGTTTTTTGGCAACCCCCCCATATAGCTCTCCTAGGGTAAGAAATGTCAGGAAGTAATGCTGGGAGAAAGTTTAGGGTGTGTTTGTGCTCCCTGCCACTGGGAGAAAGCAAAATTAGTTCATCCTGCTGTACAGCAGTACCAGCAGCAAGATTGGCGCTGCCTCTGTACCCTCTTCCAGTGAACAATAGTGAACAATATTGCTAAATGAGCTTGTGCCTGTGACAATATTCCAGGGACTCTGCCTGCTCGTGCTAACATACCAATAAGGAGCCAGCGAGATCATGTCACAGCATGTTCAGGTGGATGAGACTTCCTCTGTCATATTTGGAGACTGGGTTCTACTTCCCAGATCAGCCCAAAGTGGCCTTGTGCAGCCCCTAAGGTACATCAATATGGCAAAAAAAAAACCCTCAAAAAAACCCCCCGCAAATCCTGTGGCAGGGAATCTCAGAGCCCAGGTCAACAGACTTGGGCTCATGCTACAGCACTAAAAATAGCTCACAGACGTTAGGGCGTGGGCAGAAGCTTGGGCTCTGAAGCCCAGGGACAGGGCTGGGTTCAGAGCCTGAGCTTCCGCCAGAGCCTAAATGTCTACACAGCTAGTTTCTCCACCGTAGTGTGAGCCTAAGTCTGTTGACTTGGATTCTGATAGTGTAGTGGGGTTTCTTTTGCTGTGTAGACATAGGCGCCAACTTTCTCCGGCGCCAGTGAATGCCCGCACTCCCCCGCCCCGACTCCACTCCATCCCCGCCCCCATTCCAACCCCACCCAAAGTCCCCGCCCTAACTCCGTCCCCTCCCTGCCCCTATTGGATCCCTTCCCCCGGGGAGGTGTCGCCGGCAGCGCGGAGGAAATCCGCCTCCCCACGCCCCCTGACTGCCGCTAGCTTGCTGTCAGCCAGGCGCTGCCTCTCCCCTGCCCGCTGGCCTCGGCCCATCCCCCCGGCTAGACTGCCAAATCAGCGGGCGAAAGCAGCCTCCCCACCCCCATGGTGACAAGAGCCGCCACCGTCCCTGCCCCCCAGAAAAGCCCGACCCCGCGTGCTCTTGACAGCACCTGGCAGGCGCCTGCTGCATTCTCGCTTCTCTTTTGTGTGGCTGCTGCTTTTCACATGGTGGCTGCTGGAAAGGGGGCAAGTGGCAGGGGGGTTCTGCAAAGCGCTGCGCTGCTGGCTCGGCAGGCAAGGTTTCCATAGGGGCCTGGCTCTGCACAGCGTCGATAAAAAAGCCAGCGAGCCAGCCCCTGGCAGGTGTTACCGAGAGGGAGTTATTGGGGATGAGCAGTCCAAAAGAAGCAGTGACTCATTCTCACCCACTCCTGCCCCTGGCCTAAAGAGCAGCTGCCTTGTAGAAAACTTTGAAAACCCATCTTCTGAGACACAGTGGTGACTGTCTTGTTTGGCCCACGGGTTTTTGGTTTTGTTTTTTAATTTAGGATACCCCTGTGAAAATAGGACCTTAATGCCTCACCTCCATTCCAACCCCATCCCCAAAGTCCCTGCCCTAACTTCGCTCCCTCCCTGCCCCTATTGGATCCCTTGCCCAAATCCCTGCCCCGACCCTGCCTCTTCCCCCAGTGTGCTGTGTTCCCCTTCTTCCCCCCTCCCTCCCTGCCCTGCGAATCAGCTGCTTCGCAGCGCAAGTGCTGGGAGGGAGGGGGGAGAAGCAGGACGCAGCGGTACGCTCACAGAGGAGAGCTGGAGCAGGGGGGTGGGGTGGGGCCATGGGGAGCTGCCGGTGGGTGCTGAGCACCCACCAATTTTTTTCCATGGGTGCTCCAGCCCCTGAGCACCCATGGAGTCAGCGCCTATGTGTGTAGACATACCCCAAATTAACTGAGGCCAAGTCTACACTACAAAGTTAAGTCAACTTAAGTTACACCGACATACAGTCATTGCTGTAATTAAACCTCTGTTGCATGTCCACACTATGCTCCTTGTGTTGGTGGTGCGCATCTACAGTAGAAGCTCTTGCATCAACCCAGAGAGCAGTGCACTGTGGGTAGCTATCCCACTGCACAACTGGCTGCAGGGTGCTTTGGGAAGGGTTTGCAATGCTTCCTGGGGCAGGTTCAGTGTCACATGACGCAGGTTTCTCAATCCCATAATTCCATGGGCATCCTACTAGGTTTCCAGCTTCTTTTCAACTGCCCTGGTAAGCTGTGAGCCAGCCATTGTGTCAGAAAGCCCGGATCCTTCACTGCTCTTCAGTATTGAGCTGTGTGTTATTAACACAAGGCTATAAGAGGAGCACAAGGGGGGGGGGGCTATTTGGCTGAGGGAGGCCTTGAAGGAGCATTTTAATAATGAGCCACAGTAACGTGTGTTGCTGTAATGTGCTGAGCCTGGCATTGTTTGTTAGCATTGTGCTATGTACCTTGTAGTGATTGCTGTGTGTCTTCAACTATAACAATTCACATGCACCTATTGCTATTGTTGGTGAATGTTAGCAGATAACTTCAGTTTCCACACGTAGATTTTTATTCCACACCCATACCCATGTGGAAGCTGAATTAAAAAGCAGGATAAATGTTTTAGTCAATTTAAGGATAGAGTGAAAGTTAGCCCTAAACCTAACAACCCGAGAGTTGTTAGAGATGCAGAATTCTCGCCTTGCTTTTAGCTGATAAGGATGGAATGCTGATTTAAGCAGAAACCTTGAGATAAGGTAGAGTCTGAAGGGAATTTGTATAAACAAAGGATAACCGTTAGCCGCTGATATATGTAACAGGAAGGTATAAATACTTGCCCTATATTGCTTGTAAAACGAAGATCTGCCTAAGGTCAGGGGGGCCCCCTGTCCGGCCGCAGTCTTCCCTTGCAATTGCTCGTAATAAATTTCTCTGGCTTGTTGCTAACAAACGCAGAGTGAGGACTTGTTTTCTTCCACAAAACCTACCTATGTAATGTGGAGGAAAACTTCATATATGCAGGGGAAAGTATCTTTAAAGGGGAGGGAACAGGGTGAACCAACACGGCTTTTACAGCTCGGTATATGTGCGGCTGTTCTGTTTAATCTCCTACAGGGTGGAGTGCCTTTGGTGCTGCTGCAGCCCTGGAAGATATATGGAATTGGGGGTGGGGAGGGGGAGTGCAGGGAGGTCCTGGAATGCTGTTTCTTTTCTAATTAAGCTTTGTATGATTGGAGAAGGTTTCAGCCAGAATTAAAACACAAAATCATTCCTCAAAAGAAGTAAATCCCTTTTCTTTAATGAATAATCTACAATAGGCAAAAATTGTACCAATTTCCCACTCTCCATCAGTAATTTAATCCTGCGCAGTTTACATCTATATGAAAAAGTGAATGCCAGTGGTATCTCTCTTTCTTCCTTAAAACCATGCCTGCTTTTTCTATAGTCTGAGGCTAAGCACCCTGCCCTCCCACTCTGACTGCTCCCTTCAAAAGCTCCTCACCCTTATACCACTACCCTGGCTGCTCCCACAACCCCAACCCCAGCCCCCCTATTCCCCTACAGCCCTCACCCTGACTGCTCCCCCACCTGCATGTCAGCACCCTGACCCCAGCCCCGTCCTTGTAGAAGCAGCATGCCTGCAAATCTGCACCAGAGTGACCATTTGCCTCCCTTGTCTTCTGCTATGCCTGCTGCAGCTTTTTGATTTTTTACATGGCACGGCTGTGTCCCCCTATTATAGCCCTTCTTCTCCATGCCCCAAAAAAGTTCCTGTAGCTACAGCAGAGCTGGGTCTTCTCTCCCCACAGACCCAGGAGATCCACCACCTCCTGTGTACTCCAGGCAGGAGCATGTTTGCTGCCTGAAGCCATCCTGCACAGCTGGACAGCTGCTATGTGAGCTCTCCACACCTAGCAAACAGGAAGAGCAAGTTCAAAACTTCCTGGGGCTTTAAAAGGGGAGGGGCACATGCCTGGGTACCTGGCTGCAGGGCAGTGACCTTCAAAACAGCAACTGGAGCGGTCACAATGGACATTGTGGGACACCGCCTGGAGGCCACTTGGGCAACATAAACAATGCAACATCTACACTGACGCTGCATCACTCTACCTACATCGCCCTAGATGTTACACCTCTCATCAAGGTGATTTTATTATGTTGGTGCAGCAGGAGAGTTAAACTGGCAGGAGGAGCATCACAGCATATACACCTGTCTTATGTTGACTTAACTTTGTAGTGTAGATAAACCCTCAGTTTCTTACACAATGTATCCTTAAGGGGCAGTTCTGATTCCTCACACGCACCAGCACTTTTTGCTCCTCACACCTATCCAGAAAGTGGGATTCTGCAACCCAATATTGGAACATTAGCAATCCAGGAGATGCTGAGTTAAGGACTGCCCACACTTCAACTGATATCACCTATCACTGATAGCGGAGGGGAGACACAAAAACCAGGAATGCAGCGTTAAGGTGACACTTTCCGCATGTCCTTAACTCTGTCCCCTTCGAGCCCTGCCTTGAAGAATCCCTCAGGAAGACCACAGTACTGCACCTCTCCCTTCATCTTGGAGTTATGCTGGGCACAGAGATAATGGAAGGTTTGGTTAAGGAGGACTAAGGCATTGTTATATTGCCAGTTTCTATTTCCCTCTCCTGTGTGGGATCTGGGACAGAACATCACATGCACACCTACCCAGAAGAGGTGCAGCAGAACAGACAACTGGATTCAGCCAGACTGCAGAATGGCTTTGAAAGCCAGTGCACTGCAGAGACCAGCCCAAACAGTTCAGCAGCATTTTCATTTCATTCTCTGCAGAAAACTGCGCCCTTGATTTCACAAATGTGCAACACCCAACATGTTGAAATAAAAGCATTTAGCCACCATTCTACTCTTGCTAAGGCAATAGCTGAAACAATGTCTGACCCGGTTGCGGTTTCATTAGTCAAGGGGAAAAAGACAGGCTAGGTCATGAAAGATCTGATTTTCCAGAGCTCAGCACCTGAAACCGGGGCCTGATTGTCAAATGGAAGCTGAGCTCTGGGCCAGATTAGCAAAAGTGTTCACCTCCTACTGTGACCTCAGCTATGACCTAACATGCTGAGTTCTGAAAACCTGGCCTCCGGGATTTGTCTAGACTAGAATTTGTGGCCCTGTTGAAACTCAATTAATTACCAATTAATGCAAGTTAACTAATAGGACTCTAAATGCTAGTCTAGCTACTTCACAAAGGTCTGTTGCAGGAGTCAAAAGTTTAAGGTTTGGCCTGGGGGTCTGTGATAAAGGTGCTATTGTTGGTGTCACTAGGCATAGCTACCAGGTAACTCAGGGGAGTGGAAGGCCATAAGTGCCGATGAAACTCCTTTGCTCTGGGTCTAAGTGAGCCACAGTGACTCCATCTTGTGAACTTTCACCTACTTCTATGCTAACTGCTTACATGCTGAAGCAGGCTAAAGCAGTAATGTAATGGTCAGCTTTTCTAGCAGATAGCTGCTGTTTCGTTCATACTAACAAGGTCAAAGATAAGCAGACGAATGGGAACTTTCCTAACTGTAACTGCTTTAGGAGGGAGGGGACGGAGGGGTAGGGGGAAAAGTAACAGACAAAGCCTGCACAGAAACTGCTTGGAATATAAAAGGGAAAACTTGCTTGTATTTGCTGCACTTGATTTGAGACATGCTGGTCTCCTAGTGCCTATCCAGAGATCTCGAATAAATTTGCTTTGTTTCTCCACCTCGGTGTCTTCATTGGTGCAAAGCACACCGGGCAATGGATCCTATTGCCCCCCCGGGCCTTCTCTAGGCCGGCAACACTAACACAAAATACAGCACAAAGGTGGCTTTTAAAAACCAAATTATCCTATATACTTGTTCATAAGCTGAATATTTCTGGTAAAAAGTGAAGCATTAAAGAGCGGGGGTCAGCTTATAAACGGGTCTACACCAAAATCTGAAGATTTTAAACCCTACGGAATTATTGAATTGAATATCTAATACACTGTTGTTTTGTTTACCTGGAGCGTCCGCAGGCATGGAGCCCCTCAGCTCCCTGTGACCGCGGTTCACCATTCCCAGGCAATGGGAGCTGCAGGAAGTGGCTGGGAACGGCACAGTGTGGCTACAGGGAGCTGAGGGGCTCCATGCCTGCAGACAGTCCAGGTAAACAAAACGTCCGAACCCACCAGCAGCTTACCCTGACAAGCCAGGAGCCAAAGTTTGCCGACCTATTTATTGATGTCAATACTGCAGCCTTTAAAGTTCCAAAGGCTTTGTTTAGTGGACTAGATTGGCTTGAAATGAATACTAAAAGAGCAGTGCTGCAGATCTGCATGACATTTGCCTCACGCATTTCACAAAATGCTACACCTTACAAGCCAATCAGAAAAATACCATGAACAATAGTACTATAGCACTGGTGTCAGTCCGCTACTGTATAATTTGATCTCTTCATGCATTTCTGCCAATGGACCTCATAAGTCTCGAGCCAATATGAAAATATAACGTACAGAATCGATGGAATCGCTAATAAAATTTAAATAGCCTGTTATCGCCACAGACATGCCAATCTACAGGGCTGCTTTGAAATAAACAAAGAATAATAATAATTTGACAGTGATAAAGCAGGTGACATTCCTAAAGTCCTAAAAAAATCTATAACTATAATAATAATAATAATCTATTTTCATACTAGTATTTAAAATGAACGGTGAAATCAAAAGAAAACGGTCTGCTTATCACGCAGCGTTCAAACTTAAAGTTGTTGAATATGCAGAAGCAAATAATTGCGCTGCTGCTCGTGAATTCTGTATCAATGAGAAGCAAGTAAGAGAATGGTGAAAAAAATAAAACACTAAAAGACATGCCAAGCAGCAAGAAAAAATGTCCAACAAGGTGTGCTTCCTTTCCTGACCTAGAGAAAGATCTCAATAATTGGGTTGTTGAATGTCGACAAAATGGGTACAGTGTCACTAGAACTGGAATTAGGCTGCGTGCTCTGCAAATGTAGAAAGACGACAAATACAAATCAGTAAAGCTGTCAATGTTTGTCACATCAGCAGGTTGGGGTACTCGCTTCATGAATTGTCATGGTCTCTGTCTTCGTCAGCGAACAAAGACAGCGCAAAAGCTGCCGAGAGATCTGGAAGAAAAAAATCGAATCTTTCCAAAGGTTTATTATAAAATATCGAAAGGAATATGCATTTGAACTGTCACAAATAGCAAATATGGACGAAACACCGATGACATTCGATCTCCCGAGCAACAGAACGGTAACTGGTGTTGGTGAAAAAACAGTTTTAATTAAAACCACTAGCCATGAAAAAATCCATTTTACAGTGGTTTTATTGTGTTTGGCAAATGGATTTTTATTTTGTTATTTTTGTTATTTTTAAAAGAAAAACCTTACCTAAAAACATGAAATTTCCTGCTGGTGTCATCGTACGTGCACACGAAAAGGGATGGATGGATGAAAGTGGGACTACTGAATGGCTGGAAAAACTGTGGAATACTAGACCAGGAGCACTTTTCAAGAAATCAGCTATGCTCGTTTGGGACATGTTCAGGGCACACAAGACAGATGAGGTGAAAAATGTGGCCAAAAATATGAGAACTACTTTGGCTGTAATAGCTGGGCTTAACTTCAGTTCTACAACCACTTGACGTCTGCCTGAACAAACCCTTTAAAGACAGGCTATGCAAAATGTGGTCTGAATGGACGTGCTCAGGCATGGCAAAGTTGACAAAAGGTGGGAATCGTGTCCATTCCCATGGAAGTGACAGAAAAATCATTTCAGAAATGCTGTATCAGCAATGCACTCAATTGGTCAGAAGATGATGACATATTTGATGATGACACAACAGAGACTGAGGAATCTGAGTCTGAAGATGACACTGCTGACATCTGCGATGACAATGCAGGTGACTGAAGCTGAGTTTAATGAACTGCTTGGTGAATCAGAGACTGATTCAGACTTTGAAGGATTTTAAGACTTTTTAAAGTCTCATATTGTTCTAAGGTACTTATTTAAATATCCATTTGCTGATTTTAAATATTGACTGTAATTTTGAAGGTGAATACATATTAGTTCAGTTATTATTATAACAGGTTTTTCGTTAGATTACATTAAAATAATTCTAGCAAAACTTTTGAGTGTTTCTTGTGATGCCAACTTTTAAAATATAGCAGGGGTCAGAAAACTTTGTCTCCCGGCCCATCAGGGTAAGCCGTTGGCAGGTGGGACGTTTTGCTTACTTGGAGCATCTACAGGCACAGAGCCCCTCAGCTCCCAGTGGCCGCGGTTTGCCGTTCCCAGCCAATGGGATCTGAGGGAAGTGGCATCACTTCCTGCAGCTCCCATTGGCTGGGAATGGCAAACCCCGGCCACTGGGAGCTGAGGGGCTCCGTGCCTGCGAACGCTCCAGTTAAACAAAATGTCCAGGCCCGCTAGTGGCTTACCCTAACGGGCAGGAGCCAAAGTTTGCCAACCCCTGAAATATAAGGCCAGCTTATGAAAGGGTCATACAGTTTTTGCTATTTTTATCTATCCATCTTGGGGGAGTTGGCTTATAAACGAATGGCTAATGAACGAGTATATATGGTACCTAGTTTGATTGAGTTAATGTGACTTGACACATCCCTTCCCATGTTAGCTTCATCCTGACTAAGATTTAAAGGTGTGATGATAGCATGCCTTAGGCGATGTCTCCTAACACTCACCCTACACTCTGGTGGAAATAGGGCAGTGTGGATTTCAGCATGCATTACACTGGGTGAGTTGACGTTTGGCTCCCCCAGGCTCCAATATGCCCTATTTAGCATGTATGAAAGTAAGATTCACCCCGTCTACACTGGAGCTGTAAAACACGTTTGTTAGAAGTTATTAGCTAACACGAAAAACACTTTTTATCCCGGTCTAGACATACCAGAGATTAGCCTCTACAGTGGCATCACTGCCAAGTTTTGTTCATCTAATGTAAATGTAATACACTAATTTGCATATGTGAAAATAATTGCATATAACCATAATTTCACCTTTACAAAAATGGCCTGGATTTAGTGCTGGTGAAGGCATAACCTATTTCATTCAGCAGTGCTGTCAAGCCCTCATTCTTCTCCATGCTGTCAAGCCAGCAGGCCTCACCACTAATCTGGAGATGGATGATGTTTCTGCTAATGGGGTAGCAAGGAGATGGGTGGTAACAGACAGCCCATTCGATAATTATTTTTTCAGAACTATAATGTAGCCAGTTTGTCAGCTAGATAGTTTTTACGCAGTGTTGGTGTAACTGTGGTGGGCCCAGGATATTGGAGAGACAAGGTGGGGGAAGTGATATCTTTTATTGGACCAACTTCTGTTGGTGAGAGAGACAAGCTTACACAGAGACTTTCTTCACCAAGAAGAGTGCTGTGTAAGCTCAAAAGCTTGTCTCTCTCACCAACAGAAGTTCAACAAAAAATATCACCTCACCCACCTTGTCCAGCTAGTTTTTAATCCATTTAGTATGTGCTGCTTTGATTTTGTACAGTGCTATTTTTAAATCAGAATTCCATACAGTAGCCAGCTTTTCCATTATTTTACCAGGGATCGATGTTAGGCTAACCACATTAGAGTTACCTGGGTTGTCCCATTTACCCTTTTAAAATCCTGATACTACATTGCCTTTTTTTTTTTTTAAGCAGTCCTCTGAAACTTCTGGAACAGTCCAAGATTTTAAAAATTCCACATCAATGGTCAAGAAAACTCCTCAGCCAATTCTCTTAAAACTCTTGGGTGCAAGTTATCCAGTTTGCTGATTTAAGAATACTTAACTTTAACAGCTGTTGTTTAACATCCTCCCTAGTTGCTGTTGGAACAGAGTATTTCATTTTCACTGTAAGGTGTGAAAACATCATCTAGCTTCTTTCGAAACACAGAAGAAATATTTATTGAGCACTTCTGCCTTTTCTCAATCAATATATACAATTTTACCGTCTCCATCATTAATCAGCTTACACTATTGTTAGGATTTCTTTTGTTTGTGATATATTTAGCAATGCCATGCCCCTCCTGCAAATACAACCTTTACAATACAGCTCTTCCTAGAAAGGTCCCCATGGCACTGTGGACAGGGCCAAGCCCTGCTATAACCTGGTTTAGGCCCTGTTATTTCATTCGTTGGAATGGAACGAAGTCTGCAGAACCAAGCATTGACCACCATCACTGGTGGGTGGGAGGACAATAGGGAAACTGGAGGTGGAAGCCTGGGGCCTGATGTTAGAAAGCAGCACAAAAGGCCTCTGCATGGAAGCTGACCCAAGAAAGGTCAGAGGAGCTGCTGCATGCTTCGAGTGTAGACCACCACCCTTCTGCTGCGATTATAGCCTGGGAACTCTCAGAAGTCTCTCTCCTCATGCCATAGGAGGTTTGGCTTAGGCCATTTCCTATTTACTGCTCTGGGGTCCTGCATGCAGTTATGGAAATAGTTAGTGCTTCCCAGTGAGTACTGGATAGGGCTCCTGTTTGGATCTTATTCCTACATGGGAGCTCACACTTCATCAGCAAGGCAGTTCCTCATATACTCATGGCTTAGGAAGAGGGCTAGAGAGTGGTCCAGCCAGTACCCCTGCTCTTCCCTTGATGCAGAGAGAGTCAGCACTGCAGGAAACCTGCATGTTTAAAATCCAGAAAACATGAGGAGAGGATGTTTGGAAGGGGACTAAGTCACAAGCTAAGAGATTGCAAGAGCGCTCTCAACCCAGGACTAGGATCACTGAAGGATTTGGTGAGGGTGGGGAGGGAGGTACTGAGGGTATTTTGCATTTCCACCATTGGCAAGAAAGCAAATACGAGCTGCTATTTTCAGGCTCTACAGGAAATACAACACACAACAAGCTGTGCCTCACCCCTAGCTCAAAAGTAACACATTTTGCAATCTCCATCTAGATTGGATGTTTCATGAATCACATAACTGTCCAATCCTTTCCTGAATCCTCCTAAATTGGCCTCAAATCGATTTGGCAGCAGCAAATTCTTCTAGACCTCCTATCCCCAAAAGATGTTTGTAACACTGACCACAATGGACAAGACACATCTATTAAGAACCACCCACCCAGGCTTGTAAACTGCAGGTCAAAAAGTCACAGCTAAAGAGAACTTCAACATGGATGACTAACTGGTCTAATGAGGGTCTTTTAAGGTAACTATACAGGTGTATCCCCAACATAATTCTTAAATGCATGACTAGAGGGCAGAGAACAAACTCCTACAGATATTTTATTTTTGATACTTTCACTAAAAAAAATACATAGGAAATGAAACACAAAACATGTGATAGGAACAAATGGAGGAATTCAGAGTGTTGGCTGAAAGTGCATCATTAACTCCTTCTACTGTGTCCCTGGTCCCACCCCATCCCTGAAGCACAGAATCAACAGCACACATAAAGAGCAGCACCACCCAAAACCCAGACATTGTGGGAGGCTTGGCAGGAGTGACTGAGGCTTCTGATCCTTGAGCAGAGAGCACCAAAGATGTAAGATGGGCTGAAGGGGAGGACAGTCTAGCAAGCCAATGGATGAAGCTGCATTATTTGCAGCTTCAGCTGTGGAGCTTGGACTGTACGTTTTGCACACAGCATTATGGGCATGAGAAGACGAGGTGTTAGGAGCCAAGGAAGTAAATAGCCGAGAGTAAAGGCATGAAAGGGGTTTGAAGTGCCAGTTCTAGATGCCTTGTGTCTCGCGGCAGGGAATGGTTCTTATTCAGTAGTACATGTACGTTCTAAATTGATCCTGAGTCCTGTCTACCCTCCCATGTCTCAGTCACCAAGAGATCCGCTGGTTCCACCGTTCTGCACGATGACAAACACAGGGTTGTGGTGAGCAGCAGGGTGAGGTTTCTGCTGCCAGAAAAAGCTCACTCCCAAGACAAGTCCATCAATCTTCTTGAAGAAAATGCGACCATGTTAAACACATTATTCTCCTCACCTCTTCCAATCTGTTTCCAGTAGGCAGACTGGGATACTGCAGTCTTGCCAACACCCCAATCTCTGCTTCTCCCTCCTCCACTATTACCTGGAGTGCCAGACCCTTCTCCTCCTCCGCCGCCACATCTGGGTCTCAGTAGTTGAAAGCATTAGTGTGCAATTTCGGTCCTTTGTACACAGGTCCATGTATAACCTGCAAATGTAGCTCCAGTGTAGCACACACTGGCAATCATCTGCATGGAAGTGCACTTGGTACATGGAACACTTAGCTTTAAACATTTAGTTTGTATGAGAATCTGAAGCTGGCACATCAAGAACAGTTTGGATTCCACCCTCAAACACGCAGGCAACTCAGAGCTGCCAGTGACCCTGCAAGGACTGCAGGTGCAGAGGTGACTGTCAGATCAGCTGTAAGTACGTATCTTCCTAAACATTCATTAGGCTGTCTGACCAGCCAAAGCTCCAAGCATATCTGCTGTGTTGATAAAGTTAGCTGTTGGGATGGCAGGTTGGCAGAGGATGCAATTTCTCCTGACCCACCCAAGTACCTTTTTCTAGCTTCACACAGAGCTCCTGATTTCAAGTGGCTGCTGGGGTGATGTCTTTGTCCACACAACGTATTTCAAGCAGCACAGAAAGAATGCTGCACTAGTGCCTGCAGTCCCTGCATCCCCAGCTATCAGGAACAGTCCCTGCAAATCACGTGAGACTCTCCTCCTTCAGCCTGTCCCTCTCAAGGAGTTTCTCTCACCTGGGCTTCTCCAAAGTCACTTCTCCCGAAGGACACAAACACCAGCATCACAACGTTGTGTACCCAGTGAGGTCACCACTTCCCAGCTATCAATGATGGGATCATAGCACTCAATGCTGCTCAGCAGCGAGTTGCCATCATACCTGCAAAGGACAGAGGGCCACAGGTGAGCAATGATTTCTGAGAGGGAGAGAGGGGAGTACGGAGCCCTGGGTGGGAGCTTAACGAGTTACCCTGGGCGTTCGAAGGCCCAAAATGCTGCTAAAGCTCTGTGCACAGGGAAGGAGGGCTGAAATAAGATCAGCACAGCAGTTCCAGAGCACCTCTCCCACCATCTCCCTGGCCAGCTCAGCAGCGTCCCAGCATGTGGCACTGCTTGTTTAACTCACTATGGTGACACCATGGCCTGTCACTCTTTGGGTGCGCCAAAAGGGAAATACATGGAGAGCCCCTGTTTTGAAGCTCTACCGCAGGATCTGCAGCCACTGCACTAAACTCACTTGCTGGCTACTACTTTGCTTAGTGACAACAAGCCACTCCCCCTCCCTCAGCCTGGGTTGGACACTCCCTGCTAAAACGTTTTAAACATGGCTGTCCGCATCTGCACTAAGGATTAAGTCTTGTTTAGCAGCATGTTAGAGGACTCCTTTCCTACCACCAAACAAGTTCCCAGTGTAGACAACCCTTCAAAGAGCAGCAAGACCCACCCTTCTTACCCAGCTATTGCATACAGCCGTCCCCTCAGCACGGTGGCACCCACGTAGCAACGAGGCGTTGTCATACTCGTCACAGTAGTCCAGGAATCAGTGCGAACGTTATAGGCTTCCACAGAGGAGAGATGCGCTGTCCCATCAAACCCACCAACAACATAAATGTGATCGTTCAACAACGCTACTCCTGCTCCTGGAAGGGGAAGGGGAGTTACGCTGAGCAACAGCGACCAGCCCACGATTATCACTGCAGGTAGGCTGGATGGAGCACTCTCCCCATAACTGCAGTTCTATGGCACAGATGCTGCTGCACTTACAGAGACAGAAAGGACATTTCTTACTTGCTTCAACTTTCTGGAAAATAGCTTGTTAGGGTTGAAGTGTTTCCTGATTGTTCTTACCTCAAAGGAGACACTTTGGTGAAAGTTTGGTAAACTTTGTGGTTTTCATTCATGCATCCAACTGAAAAAAAGACAGCTACTCACCTTTGTAACTATTGTTCTTCGAGATGTGTTGCTCATATCCATTCCAATTAGGTGTGCGTGCGCCATGTGCACAGCGTCAGAGAACTTTTACCCTAGCAACACCCGGTGGGTTGGCCGTGGAACCCCCTGGAGTGGCGCCTTCATGGTGCTGGATATATACCCTGGCCGACCCAGCACCCCCTCAGTTCCTTCTTACCAGCTACTCCGACAGAGGGGAAGGAGAGCAGGTTTGGAATGGATACGAGCAACACATCTCGAAGAACAACAGTTACAAAGGAGGAGGGATAGCTCAGTGGTTTGAGCACTGGCCTGCTAAACCCAGGGTTGTGAGTTTAATCCTTGTGGGGACCATTTAGGGATCTGGGGGGAAAAAAGAAAAAAACAAAACAACAAAACCCTGTCAAGGATAGTACAAGGTCCCTTCCAGTTCTATGAGATAGGTATATCTCCATATATGATATTATTATTAAAGGTGAGTAACCGTCTTTTCTTCGAGTGCTTGCTCATATCGATTCCAATTAGGTGACTCCCAAGCCTTACCTAGGCGGTGGGGTCGGGGTGAAGTACCGTGGATTGTAGGATCGCCCTACCAAATGCTGCATTGTCTCTGGCTTGTCTAACGATGGCATAGTGTGAGGCGAACGTATGCACTAAAGACCAAGTAGCAGCTCTGCAGATCTCCTGGATTGGCACCTGGGCCAGGAAGGCTGCCGACGAGGCTTGAACCCTCGTGGAGTGAGCGGTGAGATGTGGGGTCGGGATCCTGGCCAGATCATAGCAAGCACGAATACATGACATGATCCATGAAGAGATGCGCTGGAGACCGGAAGACCCTTCATCCGGTCTGCTACCGCGACAAAGAGCTGCGTCATTTTCCAGAATGGTTTCATATGTTCTGTGTAGAAGACAAGAGCCCTACGAACATCGAGCGAGTGAAGCTGTTGTTCCTGACTATTGGCGTGAAGTTTTGGGAAGAAAACCAGGAGGAAGATACCTAGTTGATATGAAAAGTCGATACCAACTTGGGAAGAAAGGCAGGGTGAGGTCGTAGCTGCACCTTATCCGTATGGAAGATCGTGGAAGGTGGTTCCGATGTAAGAGTCTTGAGCTCAGAGAGACACCTCGTGAAGTGATAGCAACGAGGAAAGCTGTTTTCCAAGAGAGGTACAAAAGGGAACACGTGGCCAAAGGTTCAAACGGGGGACCCATAAGTCTGGAGAGGACCAAGTTGAGGTCCCATGTGGGTACAGGCTGCTGTACCTGTGAATATAGACGGTCCAGGCCCTTGAGGAACCTACCAACCATGGGGTTGGCGGAGACAGATCGCCCATTCGCTCCCGGGTGGAAAGCTGAGATGGCTGCCAGGTGAACTCTGATGGATGATATCGCCAAGCCCTGCTGTTTCAGGTCCAGGAGATAGTCTAGAATGAGAGGCATGGATGCTTGGAGGGGAAGCGTGTCATGGAGAGAGCACCAGGATGAGAAATCGCTTCTATTTAGCCATATACGTAGCCTGAGTGGAAGATTTCCTGCTGCTCAACAGGACCTGCTGCACCAAACGAGAACAGAGAAGTTCAGAGTGGCTCAGCCATACAGCATCCATGCCGTGAGGTGGAGGGACTGCAGGTTGGGGTGCGATCCTGCGTGATGAGGTCCGGAAAGAGAGGCAGCGGAATCAGAGTATCCACCGAGATCTCTAACGGCGTGGTGTACCAATTCTGCCTGGGCCATGCTGGGGCGACCAGAATCAGTCGTGATCTGTCCCTGCGTGCCTTGATCGGGACCTTGTGCACAAGGGGAAATGGTGGGAAGGCGTACAACAACCTGCTCATCCACGGGAGTAGGAAGGCGTCTGTGAGCGAGCCCAGGGAGCAGCCCTGGAGGGAGCAAAACGCCGGGACTTCCGGTTGCTGCGCGAGGCAAACAGGTCAACCTGGGGAAACCCCCACGTTAGGAAGATAGGGTGGATGACATCCGGGTGGACTGACCACTCGTGGGATTGGAAGGACCTGCTGAGGTGATCCACCAACGTGTTCTGGACCCCTGGGAGAAACAACGCCACCGGGTGAATAGAATGGACCATGCAGAACTCCCAGAGTCGAATGGCCTCTTGACAGAGGGGGGAGGAACGAGACCCCCCTTGCTTGTTGATGCAGAACATGGCCGTGGTGTTGTCTGTGAGGACCACCACACAATGACCATGCAACTGCTCCCAAAAGGCTTGGCACGCAAGACGCACCTCCATCAGCTCCCGTACATTGATACGGAGAGAGAGATCGGATGGGGCCCATAGACCTTGCATCTGGATGTCCCCGAGGTGGGCACCCCATCCCAGGGCGGACGCATCCGTGACGAAGGACAAGGAGGGCTGAGGGGTGTGGAAGGGGACTCCTTTGCATACCACCCTTGGGTCTAGCCACCATTGGAGGGAGGCCAGGACCCTTTCCGGAACAGTGATCACCAGGTTCAGACTGTCTTGACCTGGACGGTAGACAGATGCCTGCCAGGCCTGAAGCGGTCGGAACCGAAGTTTGGCATGTCTGGTCACGTATGTGCAGGAAGCCATATGACCCAGGAGACTCAGGCATGTTCTTGCCGTCGAGGTTAGGAAGCTTTGAAGGCTCCAGATGAGGCCCGTCAGAGTGTGGAAAAGCGCGTCCAGCAGGAGAGCTTGGGCATGCATGGAATCTAGGATCGCCCCAATGAATTCTATTCTCTGGGTTGGTTCTAGAGTCGACTTCGCCACATTGATGAGAAGACGTAATGGAGAAAACGTGTCCATGACCACTTGAACGTGGGATTGCACCTGTTCTTTGGTGCAGCCTTGGATGAGCCAGTCATCGAGATACGGGTATACCTGTATCAGTCTCCGATGAAGGGAGGCTCCCACGACTGCCATACATTTGGTGAACACCCGGGGGGCCGTGGAAAGGCCGAACGGAAGGACCATGAACAGGTAGTGTTCGTGGTTGACCACAAAGCGGAGGAAGTGTCTGTGTGCCGGATGGATTGCTATGTGGAAATACGCATCCTTCATGTCGAGGGCAGCGTACCAGTCTCCAGGATCCAGGGAAGGTATAATGATACCCAAGGAGACCATGCGGAACTTCAACTTTACCATGAATTTGTTGAGTCCGCGCAGGTCCAGAATAGGCCGAAGCCCGCCCTTTGCCTTGGGTATTAGGAAGTAACGGGAGTAAAACCCCTTGTCCCTTAGCTCCCTTGGAACCTCCTCGATCGCCCCCATGGATAGGAGTGTTTGAACCTCCTGAACGAGGAGTTGCTCGTGAGAAGGGTCCCTGAAGAGGGACAGGGTGGGGAGAAAGAAAATTGCAGAGAGTATCCCCTTTCCACCGTGTGAAGAACCCAACGGTCCGTGGTTATACGGGACCAAGCACGGTGGAAACGGGATAAACAATTCAGGAAGGGTGGGGTAGGATCCTGACCGAGGTTCGGTACATCATCCTCGAGCATCACTTCCAAAGTTTTGCTTAGGGCCCGCTGAGGGCTTGGAAGGGCCTTGGTCGGGTTGGTGGTTGGAGAGTTTCCTTCTGGTATTGCGCCCCCGCCTCCTATAGAAGTCCTGCCTCGGCCGAGGAGGGGGATAGGAGCGTTGGGGCTGAGGCTTAAATGGCTTCCGCTGGGTAGCCGGTGTGTGCATCCCCAGCGATCACATTATGGCCCTTGAGTCCTTGAGTCTCTGAAGCCTTGAGTCAGTTTTGTCTGAAAACAGCCCTCTCCATCAAAGAGGAGATCCTGTAATGTTTGCTGAAGCTCCAGTGGTAAGCCGGAAGCTTGCAGCCAAGATATACGTCTCACTGCAATAAGTCTACGGTGTTCAACGAGGCCTGTAATGAGGTCCTCGCCACTGTCTTGCCCTCTTCCACCAAGGCCCCAAACTCCTCTCTGGACTCCGAAGGAACCAGCTTCTTGAACTTTAACATGGAGTTCCAAGAGTTATAGTTGTATCAGCTCAGGAGCGCCTGCTGGTTTGCGATCTGGAGCTGAAGACCACCCAAGGAGTACATTTTGCGCCCAAATAAATCGAGGCGTTTGGCCTGTTTTGATTTGGCTGCTGGGGCTTGCACTCCTTCTCATTCACTGAGGCCACCACCAGTGAACAGGGCTGTGGATGTGTGTACAGATAGTCATATTCTTTGGAGGGGACGAAGTACTTCCACTCCACCCCTTTAGCAGTTGGAGGAATGGACGCAGGTATTTGCCAGATTGTTCTGGCCGTGGTCTGAATAGTCCGGATGAGCGGTAGGGCCACCCTAGATGAAGCCTCTGCAGACAAAATGTCAACCACAGGGTCCTCCACCTCTAGACCCTCCTCCGCTTGGAGGTTCATATTCCGTGCCACCCTACGTAAGAGGTCCTGGTGGGCACGGTGGTCTATTGGGGGGGACCCGAAATAGCAGTGTCTACCACTGCCTCATCAGGTGAGGAGGAGGCCACAGGAGGAAGAGGATCATCTGGGCCCTCTTGGTCAGCTGTGTCTCGGAGTCCTGAGCCCCCGATCTCAGCATCCAGACCTGGAAGCGGGGTTGGAGGAGGGTCTGGATGGACAATGCCCCAGTTTCCATGTCCCCAGGAGCAAGACGGCTGATGGTGGTCTCTGGCACCCGTGGCTCGGAGGGTGCTGAATGAGAAGCCCCTGATGGAGCACCCTGGGCCTGGTGGTACGCCCAAGGCATCCAAAAGGGCC